TATTATGTTGGATAAATTGATAAAATTAAAACACTAAAAATCTTTGGAAGAATTAATTGCAAATATATTGATGCCTGGAGTTATTTACACGGCGAGGATGCCATATTAGAAATGAAATATTTTCAGGACCAGAATGATAAGATGAAACAATTAAGATTTTATATATTGTTGCACCACCTGTGGTTGGTATATTATATCTTAAAATATTAGTAGTTTGTAACAATATTAAAATATACTTGTTTAAAAATTTAACTCAAAACTGTTCTTCGCAAAAAGAAATAATATCTTTCCTAAAAACACATAAAAAAAGAGAAGAAAAGATATCAAATTTATAACATCTATTGTAGGATGAATAATAAAATGTTTAATTTTTAAAATCATTTATAACTAAATTGATGGCGTTATATACTTAAATGCAAATTATTACTATATTTGTTATCAAAACATTTATTAGTAAAATTCATTATAATATTAACTGTAATACATTATATAACTGACAAATAAGACTATAAAAGTGGCATTTTATCTAATATTTTGTAAACAACTGTATATAATAGAGGATTATAAACTATATGTCTAATTACTTACTTTTTATAAAGAAATCTCTTATACTCATTTGGACCTTGAAAATATTTTTAGGAATAAGTATTATAATAAAATTTAAAAATAAATATACAGTTGATTAGTCATTTTGAACTCGGCTAATTGTAATATTAAATTTTTTAGTTTCAATTAATAAATGATTATATTATGGTTATATAATAATTTAAATAATAATAGCCAATTAAGCTTCAACTGTTAATGCTAAATTAATATTTAGTGAGTGATATTGATATTCTATTTTTAACACAAAATTTGATTGCAAACTGATATAGTGAAAATATAATTTATATGTATTAATTTAATCTAATATGTAAAATAGTATTCATTTAATAAATATTTAGACAGTCTTATTAATTTTTAAATAATAAAATTAAATCTATATATTACTTAATAGAATTATAAAAGAAATCATACAGGGGGCAATTAAAAAAATTTATTTTTTGTTCAAGTGGTTACCATTAAAAAAAATTTTTTTTGCTACAGGGGGCTATTCAAATTTTTCAAAGGGCTCGAACCCCTGTGCGCCCCCCCTAGCGACGCCACTGCTGAATCTACGATATATAATATTCCACTGTTTGTATTGTGCTTTGTGCATTAATTTTTTTATTTAATTTATAATTTAATTTTATCAATAGTTTTATAATTATATTTTACTTTTATTAAGATAAATAAATTAAAGTTACTCACTTTAAAAAATTATATTTGATATATTAAATTATTTAGTAATTTTATGAATTTATTATTAGTAATTATAATACATTTCACTTTTTTCTTAAGACTTATCTTTCATTTCTTAAAAAACATTTTTGGTTTTATTTTTTTATATATAAATGCTTTTTTCCAAAAAATTATGAATTATGATGAATAGTTTTAGTTTAAAAAAATATTAAAATTTACAATCTTTCTTTCAAATTATTGTTTAAGAAATATGCATACATTTTTGGGAGACTATGAGTGGAGGGAGGACTAAGGAAGATATTTTAACGTTTAAAATAGATATTTAGGTTTGTAATAATAAAATTACATAAATATATTAAAATGAGTTACCCAAAATAGGATCAAAATAATATTTAAAAAAAATCAATAGATAAAATAGAAGAATATTTCTTATATTGTGATATAATAGACATTAGAAAGCTAATTTATAATTTACCAGACAATTTATATATGGTTATGCAAGCTATGGAACCAAAAGATAAAAATTCGACATATAAAGTATTAACTAAGATAAAAGAAATACCTAGATCAATTCGAACTCCTTCTAATATCCGGTTAAAACTTATTCTCTTCCATATATTACTATGGTGAGAAAAATATCTTAAAATATAAAATGAAATAAAATTAAATGTTATGTAAAAGGTAGATAATTTTCCTATATAAAAAATGAAATTGGCTTCTACTACATCTTCTGATGGTATACATTTTTTAAAAATAGAATGGATAATGATGATTTCTTTATACAATTTTTTTTCTTATTTATATATAATGAATAAGAAAGTAAAGATTTTAAAAAAAAGATATAGTTACAATGTACATCTTGAAAATTTTATACCCAATATTTCAATTTGTGAATCTTTATAGTGGGAATTATTATATGGTCCCTTTTCCTCATTTTTGGCATCGCGTTTGATGAATAACGCCATGATATCTTCTTTTATCTCTCCTAAAGATAACCTTTTAAATTCAACCATGACAGCTTGGGTATCTTTAGCTCCACCTGAAGCTGTTTTACCCACAATCTTAACACACCAATCTATTTTCGAACCTTTAATTAAAAAATTTTTTAAAATAATCTCATCAAACCCCTCTTTGGAGTATATTCAACTATTACAGAATTCTGACTGTACTAGTGGTTATGAATGGTTGGAAGCTACCAAGTGGTAACCTAGGTAACCTCTTATCAGATGAACAATTAAGAGTTGCCATAGGCCATCGACTTGGATGTAACATAGTTCAATTACATACATGCATCAAATGTAAAATATTAGTTGACTTCAAAGGGAGACATGGTCTAAATTGTATATATAGTCAAGGCAGGCATGCAAGGCATGCAGCAATTAATTTAGCTATTAGCCGTTCTATTACCAGGGCCCGAATACCAAACATCCTGGAACCTACAAATTTATTATTAGATGATGACTTAAGACCAGATGGCTTACCTTCCGTGCCTTGGTCTATAAAGAAATCCTTAATTTGGGACTTCACATGCATATCTTATTTTCCAAAAATTTGTTGATATAGCCGAGAAAATAAAACAATGAAATATTCCAAATTCACAAATTATATTTTTTACCGATCGTTATCTCTTCCCTTGGACATATGCTAAGCGGAACTTTAAAATTCTTAAAAAAATAGGCGACAAGATAAGAGCCCTTACATCAGAACCTAAAGAATACTATTTTCTAAAACAAAATCTACAAATAACTATTTTATAATATAACTATTCATGTTTTTTGGGAACTTGTAGTCCCACTTCCGTTTTTATAAAAAAAGAAAAATTTAGGAGATTTATCCCTTTCACTAATTTAAGGGAGATGTTACATAAATATGAATTTTTAGATGAAATTTTTTTTACATATAACGAATCAGAATTCATGGATGCCTTTTTTGTTAAAATATAAATTAACTTTATCATTTTTATAACTTCTTTAAAAAAATTTCCCAAGGTATTAAAAATTTCATTGTACGATTTTTTCCTAATATATTCTAACTGATTATAATTGACATAATTTTAAATTATTTAAAAATCCGCCCATTTAGATATTACAATTTTTTCTCACTTTTTATATGGAGAGCATTACAATTCAAATTTTTATAAATATATATCCAAAAGAGGGCGTTAAATGTATGATAATGAAAATATTATTTTCTTAAGGAAACCGTAGTTTTTATTAGTTAACGCTTTTTTTGTGTGTGTGTTTTGGTGTAGGTACATTTGGAAAACCTAAAAAAGTTTATTAGACTAATTTATGAGTTGGTTTTAGCATCGAAAAATAGCATCAAACTTTGTAAGACACATAATATAATAAGCGTTATTAATCGAAATTTCTTGATTTTTGTTTCCAATTACGTGTTAAAACATAATCCTAAAAAAATATTTAAAAAAAATGTTGTTATTTGGTCGATTGCCGAACTCCGACCGCCTACTAAATATTCGATTGACCAAATTTGGTTGTAAAAACAATGTTCTTTTTTTGATTTATAATCCCTATTATTAAATATTATTGTTAAGTATTATCCCCCCCCCCCCCCCCAAAAAAATTTTTTTTTATTTAAAATATAGTGATTTGACCGATAACCGACTCGTAACATAGCCCAATGAGTAAATTATATAATAAAATTTTGATTAATTTTTTTTTATCAATGCAGTATGTCATACCTGAAAAAGGTTTATTTTGAAAAAAAAAATGATTTCATATTTTTTGAGCATGTTAGTATAATTTAAACTGATTTTAAGCAGAATTTTATTCCATCCGCAGATAATTTTACCCTTAAACTTGGAGTTGGGGGGGGGGGGGGTTCTTACTTATTATACTAAACATTTTACAACAAAATAACAATTTAATAAAAAAATCTATCGACGTATTGTTATAATATTATTTTCATGTAATGACCAATCTCGGATAAGTGGCTAGAACCAGTTTTAAGAACAGGCTTCGTATAAAATTTATGGATAACGTACAATAAATGTTTTGAGTGGAAACACAAAAAGAAATAAATCATAATTATAGTACTATTAAACACAACAATATTCATAAAACAGTATTATTCAAAATATTTTACCAGGCATTTGAATTTTTTTGGCTTCGGATGAGAGGACCCCTTCCCCCCCCCCCCATTCCCCGCTGCGTATATACCTCTAGGTTTAAGGTTATGAAACATTATAAAAGTAATATTTTGCAAAATAACTTAAAATATTATAATATTGTCAAAAAATCTAAAATTAATTCTTTTTTCAAAATTTTGTTTTGGATATAATGGATTATAACATCAAAGAATATAAAATCTATTTTGCCAAAGAATGGATCTAGAACATTAATATATCAACCCTGCTCCATAAAATACAAAAAATTATCATTTGTATTTTATTGTAAAATTTAAAAAAAAAAATTTTCATCCCAATTTAAGGAACATTATAAATTTTCTAAACTGTATAACTTTAATGGTAATTTAAACAAGATTACGTTAAGTTATCTCGAAAAAGATTTTCAATTGTAAACCATTATGATTTTTAACCCAGAAATTACTTATGATTTGTTATAACAAAATAAAATGATTAAAAAAAAACTTTTAATATAATATAATTATTTCTAATATCATAAATAAAACTTTAAAATATAATTATATTAAATTATCCATTAAAAATGTTTCTTTTGTTTAAATGGAATTTAGTCATTATAATTTACAAGGTCCTCTTTTACCGCATATAGAGTAAAATTTATTATCAATCAAGATGCATTCGTATTCCTTTTTACACAAGACTTTAGCTTCAGTTTTACAAGGTTCACCCAAATTCTTTTATAAAAACAAAAAAATCAGATAAAATAAGAATATAAATTACTATATTATTATTAGGTAACAACATTTTTTAAAATATTTATATAATTTTAAATGTCAGGATTTGGAATTGGAACCAGGATGCTAGAACCCTCGGAACCCTGAAAAAATATGTGGTATAAATAGAACTTGAAACCAGCTATTAATATATAATAGGAAATGGAAACCTGAAGTCATTTTAAATTCTCAGGAACTGATTCTATCAAAAGTGCGAGTAACTAATATTACGTTTAAATATTTCTTTGACTGCTTTAACAGAGTTTTAGCAACAGAATCTCGAACACTCGGAATTGGGGCCATATTTAGGAATCTAAAATAAGAACCCACTTTTTCAAACATTTAAAAACCTGAAACGGAACCATTTTTTTTGATCAGACACCAAACTCTTCTCTACTCTGATTGGTTGCACCGAAAGGATATTTCGAAGTCTAATATCAAATTCACTTCATCAAAAAAAATTGGGTAAATAAATAGTTTGCGAGTTTGCAAGAGAAATTTGATAAAAATCTTCTTTTTTTTCTTGAAGATAGAAATTCGAAAATTGCTAGAATTTTTTTTTACGGGATAATTTAGCGGGAATATTACAGGCAATGACATGACGATGCATTTATTAAAAGCGTACATCAATGAAAACAGCTGAGGCGCCATTTTGGTTACCAATATCGTTATTAAAAATTTTATAAGAGAGACCAATTTATTCCTATGTCTGACGCTAACTTTATTAAAGAATTGCCTGATCTTTGAGATAATAAGGAAGCAAGTTATCAATTAGTCGTTTTTAACATGAGAATAATTTACTATATGAGTTACCAAAATGGCGGGTCTTGCTATACATTTAACTACCATTTCAAACGCATTATTATGAATACATCGTCAGTATCATATGTCATTGATTACAAGAGGGAAACTACCATGTGTTGACTTAAAAATTGGGGGAGTCCTTCACTGAGTGAGGGAGATCTGACAACCCTGGTTATAAGGATTAATTTTTAAAAATAAGAGTCCGTACGGTGCAGATTAATTGGAACGTATTATGGTGCCTAATATGGGAACGCTCATAAATGTCCCTAATTTTGACAATTTCGTTTATATTACCTTATTGTATTTAATTGTTTAATGGTTAAAAACAATAATTAGATGTCAGATTGCCAGTTTTTTGATAGTAATGAATTTATTTTCTAATTTTATTTTAACTACTTTAACCCTAGGGGTAAAATGGCTCTTTTCATATAATTAATCATACCCGCTAAGCTATTTATAGGTAGAAAACTGCATTTCTATTTAATTTGTAGGGTGGGAAATTGGATATACATTGATTTTAATCGGTTTCCCTTTTTTGTCTTAATTTTTTTAAAATAAAAACTCTAAATATCCATCCATTAACCCCACGGTATCCCTGTAATATAACGAATGATTTTATTAAAAATCAATTAAACTCTTGATCATTACAGTCCCTTCCGTCTTCCCTTCTAAGGGGGGTGCCCTATGAAGTAAGCATTCCCTACCTAAAAATGTTATATAAAAAATTTCAAAAGGAATCTAAATCAGGGTAGGAACTAATGTTGTCAAACGGCTCGTTTTGAGCCGATTTTTAAAAACGGCTAACTCAATATTTTTGCCAGAAAAATATTGCCTAAGCCTCGAGATTTTGTTAATTGATGTCTAGACCCTTGTGTCATCTATGAGCAGAATCTTCAGGCTTGCGTAATATTATTCTGGATAAAATATTGAGTTAGCCGTTTTTCAAAATCGGCTCAAATCGAGCCATTTAACAACACTAGTAGGAACCATAATTTTCAAAATATTTTTTTAAATAAGTTTAGTTATGGCAGGACTGATTTATATAAATTATATAATCATATTTTTAAAAAAAATGGAGGGAGGATATATACCATAAATAATCATGACGCTATTGTTGCGTACACATTAACCCCCTCCCCTCCAAATAATCCTTCCTCGTAATGATAGAAGGCACTAAATTATTGTTATAAAGATTGATATTTTTCCCCAGTAAAGCTAAGTTCTCCCAATAACCGGTTAGAACCTGACATTTTCACAAATAATATATAAGTATAACCATTAAGGCATATATGATCAATAGATCGAGAAGAAAATAACCTTAAGAGAGGATCTTATACAGGTTCCATTTGAATCCTGTTTCTTGTAGTTGTCTAATGCACACATCAATCCCTTCCCACATTTTCCACCGAGCATATAAAGTCCTCCACATATCTCACCACTTACCTGAATTTAAATGATACAATAATGTAATATATATATAAATTATTATAATTGAATTGCCATTTTAAACCTAATTAGAGTTTGAAAATTTGATTTATACATTTATATGACATGAATTAAACCTTTCCTTTAGATATGCATTCTTTTTATGATCCCCTTCACATTTTTTAAATCCACATTTTCTACTTTCAATTATAAATAATATACACTGTATGATTTGTTATTGTTTGAAGTAGTGATAAAAGAAAAATTTGAATATGTATTTGTATGTTGGAAATTGAAAAAAAAATACCTTAATATTCAAATGTAGAGTTATGATTATTTTTATGGTTAAAGATACAAATTGTTATTTTGATATTCAAATATTAAACGATATAAAAGGATTGCAAATTGTTATAACAGTTTTATTTTTGTAAAAAAGTTGTAATTTGATTAATTTAATAAATACATTTATTGGTTTTATAGTTTAGACTAATTGGATACTTAATTACATTAGAAACAATTGTAAAACATTTCCATATATTTGTAACACCTTTCTTATATAAATTGTTTGACTCGCTATAATGATTGTAAAAAAATAACATATTAGCATTTTAAATAAAATAAAGTATAGCAAGTTAAACAATTTTTTTAATAAACTTGTTAAAAATATATGGAAATGTTCAACAACAAATTATATTGATACTGTAATAGTTGCTAATAATTTTATCTATTATCAAAATAAACACTATTTTAAATATTTATACTATTATTACAATTATTCTAATTAATATTAAAATATAATTTAATCATTATTATTATTATTATTATTTACTATTATATTACTTATTACTTTAAATTAATCTATTTTAACGTTAAATTTGTTTAGTATTGTTTTTTTTTATTTAAAATTAATTATACAAACCTATATATGTACTATATATATATGTTAGCATCAATGTGTTTTTTCCGGCAATGTGTTATTTTTACAACTTTAAATCTATTAATTGTAAACGATTTTACTGTAAACCTTTGATTCATTTTAGTATTTATATAAAAAATATATGGAAAATTTAATATAAATTATATTGAGTTTAAAATTTCGCGGGAAATTTATCCGAAATTCATAGGGTAGGTATTCCTAACATGACGGCACATTTCCGGTAATATCAGATTTTTAAATTTTTAAACGCTCAAAAAATGATAATATTGTATTTTCAATTGTATTAAATTTTTTTGGGGGGAATGTCGTGTTTAAATATTAATTAAAAGTTTATACGATAAAAGTTGTAAGGCAAACTTGTTTTATACCAAAGTGCGCACTTTTATATATAAATTTTATAATTTTCCTACTTTTGCGCAAACTTTGCAACAACCGCAAGCATCTGTGACGAGACCTCCTTCGCAATCTGTGGGAGGGTCGACATTGCATTTAATCGATCTTGATTGACATGGACAGGATAATGCATTAACTCTATAAAAATTTTATAGTATAATCATATTTTATAATTTCGCAACATTTATTATACACACTTTTCTAAATTATATATGTTAGCGTCATGCTTATTTTTTAAGTTTAAATCACTTTTTTAGCGTTTTTTTTTAAATTTAAGAAATCGGATTTTACGGGAAATGTATTCTAAGCATGTTTAGAATACCTTCCTATCTTATGAATTGCAGATAATTTTACCGTTAACCTTTGAATTTATATAAAAATTCTATTGGAAAATCTAATATAATTTATATTATATTCGAAAGTTATTGGCGAAATTGTCGGATATTTTTAGGGCAGCTTATTCCAAACATGATAGATTAGATTTTCTGGAAAATTATTTAAAGTTAAAAAAAAGTATAATATTGATTGAAAGAAAACACATTGAATCTAACATATATAAAAGCTTATTAAAATTAAAATCGGTTGTAAAATAAATAAAAAAAAGGCCATTCTTATGAAGACCAAAATTTTAGCCCCCATAATTATCTTAAAAATGAACTCATAACCATTATTTGGCGATGTGCCTTAAAACAAAAATAGAAAGGTAAGAATTCATACTTGACTTTCAAAAGAGTACAGAATAGGAAGAAATAGTATAGATTCTTATTAAAAAACATTTTTTAAAGAACAAATAATTTAATTTAAGGCTTTTCGCTTTAAAAAAATATATGATGAAATGAATCGTATATGTTATACGTCACTATATTTTTCGCATCTCAATGGAAAGATTGTTATAATCATTCTTTTTTTTCCATATAAGATCAATATATTAGTGAATATTAGAGATCTGCAAAGTTAGACCCGGCCCTTATTACTTTATCTTATGAATATTAGTTTCATCAACCACAAAACGAACATCGTGTTATATGTTTAATTAAGAACTACAAACGTTGGACCTGCGTTAAAGTTAGTCAAACTCATTTTTTGAAGCTTAAGCCATCATGTATTTCTTAATTATTATATTTATTTCTTCAATTAGTTTGGCTAGACACTAAAGGAAAAAAAACCACCCATGGCGACATCATCAACTTCCTAAAATCCGACAAACCTTCCATTATCTCTAGAATTCCTAAAGGCTCCAGAGTACAAGTAGCCAAAGCCTTCTTCTAATACTTTCAATCATTATTAAATAACTTCTCCTCCCTTGATCATTGGCTCAAACTCTTCACATTTTCCTTCACGACTATCCAACCTCCCAATCCAGAGATTCAGAAATCTCTAACCCAACAAATTAAAGACGCAACCTTACACCCCCTCACTCTCAAAACCACAACATCTTCTCATGTACCCAAAAAACTTTCCGGCCTACAATTAAAGGCAAAGTTAATTTCCAACAAAATTAACAACCTAAACATCAAATCCGCTCTTCGCTTAGTAGCTTCTGATGATTCATTTGCCACTAGTAACGAAGAAAGTTTCAATAAACTCAAACTAAAGCACCCCTCCGGAGTTGATTTCATACCCCCACCTCCTCCCAATATTTTCCCTTTTGATTTCACCCCCGCCGAGGTGGGTAAATCTATTCTATCCTTCCATAACGACTATTCTCCCGGTTACGATGGGCTTCGTCCCATCTTCCTCCAGGATCTCACATCCCCCCTTATAGTCAGCCAGGTCCCAAATTTACTAAATTTAACAACATTTTGTAACAAAATAGCACACGGCCTCGTCCCCGAGTCCATCAGACCACTCTTATTCGGTCCTAAACTAATCGCACTCGAAAAACCTAATAAGGATATCCGCACAAATGCAATCGGAACCATATTTCGCCGCCTTGTCGCTAAGCTAATATCTTCCAAAATTAAGGACAACGCAGCCTTAATTCTAGCACATCATAAACTTGGAATCGGCATCCAAGGAGGCTGCGAATTAGCCATACACGCTACTCGTATCCATCTTCAAACAAACCCAAGTAACGAAATCCTCGTTAAAATTGACTTCTCTAACGCCTTCAACTCCATTCGCCGCTCTCACTTTCTCCCACAAATGTACCACTCATTCCCCACCTTTTCTCAATTCTTCCATTCTCAAGCCATCTCATCTCCAATCAACAACTATTTACTTTCATCATCTGAAGGGATCCAGCAAGGCGATCCTTTGGGATCGATACTTTTCTGCATTGGAATCAACGAAATGGTCAAAAACATTTCTTCCAACTGCAATCTCCCACCGCATACTTGGTACATTGATGACGGAATACTCTGCGGTCCCCCTAACGAGGTTGCTAAGGCACTCACCATTATCAAAACACATTCCCAAGCTATCGGTCTCTCACTCAACGAACAAAAAACTGAGATCTGCCCATTTCATTGCTCTATCCCATTTAACCACTCTCATCCCTCAGTCATCTCGGCTCTCCAGTCGGTGGCCTGGATTCCATCAATCACTTCTTCACTAACGCATCATCCAGCTTACTTCATTTCAAAAACATCTCTTAAGTTTCTCACTCCACATCAAGTTTTTTCTCCTCAAAAACTTTTATTACTTTCCTAAAATTCTCTACGCACTTCGATCCACCTCAATTTTCAAATTCCCCGACTCATTAAAATCTTTTGAAATATCCGTCAAACCTCTCGCTGAAGAGATCCTTAATCTCCGCTTCAACCATAATTTATGTTTACAAGCATCACTTCCATGCAAGCTGGGGGGCATCGGCTTACGCTCACCTAACTCTTTCCATCAGTGGTTTCATCGCCTCTCGTCTTTCATCCGACTCACACATTAGCCAGCTTTCCAAATTCCCTGACCCCTTATTAGCTGAAGCCCAGACCATTTGGGACAACGCACGACCCTCCTCATGTTTACAGAGAGACTGGGATATTCCACTCAACAAGGCTCGGTCGCTTACCTAAAATCGAGCCTTCACCACGACGATCTCACATTTTTTCACCAATTGAACCAAGGATCTGGTTACGAGTTTTTGGAAACCATACCCTACAACAACCTCGATTTGTTGCTCACTGCTGACGAGCTAAGATTTGCTATTGGACTACGGCTCAATTGCGAAATTGTTCTTCCGTACCAATGCAAACATTGCGAAACCAGCGTCGACAGCAAGGGTAGGCACTGCCTCCATTGTCGCTTTTGTCGTGGCCTCTTCTCACGGCACACAAAATGCAATGACATCATTTTAAGCGCCCTCAAATCAGGAGGCATTCCATATAGACTAGAACCAACCGGAATTTTTAGAACCGACGGAAAACGTCCTGATGGAATGTCCTTGACCCCTGGTCAAGGGGTCAGCTCCTGGTTTGGGACTACACCTGCATTGACCCAAATGCACCATCTAACCATAACGTCGATGCCCTCGCCGTCGCTGAATCCCGCAAAACGATAAAGTACAGTTCCTTAGACCCTTCTTTCTTATTCATACCCATCGCCTGCACCATTCTTACCACCTTCGGTAGCAAAGCTCAAAGTTTTTTCAAAGATTTAAGCAAACGGATCCGCGAAAAAACCGACCAGCCTAAGGAATCCCTCTTCTTACGTCAAAGACTTGCTACCGCAATCATTTGTTCTAACTATCTAAGCTTCATCTCTTCCATTGAATAACCTTCCATTTTCCAAGCTTCCTTTTTTTTATCCCCTATCCTTTCCCATAAATTCTATTTCTACCCTTTATTTATTTTACCTTTTTAAAAAATTAATTATTTGCTAATACATTTTGACATCAAATCATATCAGTAAATATTCAAATAAAGTAACTGACCGGAAAAAAAAATTAATGTTTACTATTCTCATACATATTCTTAAATTTTTTCTTTAATTCTTTCCTTCTTATATTTTTACTACATTCTCAAACCCTTCTTGTTCTCAATTATCAATGCTTTTTGACCCCTTAATTATCCTCCACTCTCTATTAAACAAATATCTACTTTATAAATGAAACAATCCAAATTTCATCAAATAAATTTTTATACTTATTCCTTAAATCAATATCATATCATTCCTCAGTAGAACTATTCTCTTCTTCTTCTACCACACCTTCATTTTTTAATCTTTTTCTCACAATTTCACCGGAAAATTTTTCGATACGGGTAATTTTTCCCTCTCCAAATTTGAGTCTTTATAAATCTCATCACATTTTATATAATTATTCACCCTCCTCGATTTCCCTGAAATTATTACATTGTCTATTTCCAAATTAAAATTTACATCATCAATTCCCAAAATACTTTTTACTTTCAGATCAACCAAAATTATCAATTTCCAATTCAATGTTTTTTTCAATTTCTGGATTTTCCAAAATATTACCAACTTCCAAATCAACTGAAATATTATCGATTTCCCAATCAATATTTTTTTTAATTTCTATATCAAGTTCAGGTTTAAACTTATATCCATTTTATTATCCAAAATATCAAGTTTTTCGTGACCCATTTTGTCACTTATAATTTTTTCATTTTTGAATTTCCTCAGAATTATTTAATATATTTTTAATTTCATCATTTTTTAGTATTTTACTTTCCACAAATTCATTTTCTTTATTATCACGAATTCTTTGATCATTATTTATCATACTCTCATTATTAATATTCTCTAAAATTTCTTTCATTAATTTATTATCCGAGTTTTTAACATCCCCCCTCTTTTACAGATTTTTTTAATACTTCAATATTTTATTCAACAAAATATTTTCTAAACCAAATTTTGATATCCAATTCCATCCCAAAACTATCAATTTTTTCTTTATACCCAAAAATCCAAATATATTAATTCGTTATTCATTAATATCGGTAAATTTACTTTTCCCAATGCCATAATTTCTGAACCATTCTATTGTTTTACCCTCATTTTATCTTTAATTATTGTTTCATTCGGCCATAACTTGTAAAATTATTATACCCAATCACAGATATTGTTGCCCCTGTATCCAATAACATCAAAATCTCTTTTTTCCCTACATTTACTTTTACTCTTGCACATTGATTAAAATTTTTATTATCTTCCAACTTGAAAATACTAATATGTATATACTTTAGTGTTTCATTTTCCAACATATTTTTATAAATCCCATAAGTGTTATTTACATCTGCTTCATTTTTTCTTTCTATTTCATTATGATCATTTATCTTATTTTTATATATATTTTCTTTCAATAGATCCAACTCATTTTTTGATGTAACTCCTTCAAATGTTTTTATTTCACTATCATATGGTCATCCTGATGTACAATCTTTCGCGTAATGACCAATATTACGACATTTAAAACACGTTATATCTTCTACATTTCTTTTTTCATAAATATTATTCCCTTCATTTTTTCGATACTCCACCGCTGGAAATGGAAATGCTTTGGAATTTCCCTGTTGATTTTTATAACATTTATCCTGATTATGCCCAAACTTTCCACTACTTTCACACTCATCTGTATTTTTTTGTTTTTCATTTAATAACTTGTATGCCGGAACGTAACATTCCTCAGCATTATGTCCACGGTTTTCACATCTTTTGCAAACTACAGGTAACATTTTTTATTTATTCCTTCATTACATTCTCTACTTATATGTCCATATTTTCCACAATTATAACACGTTTTATTTTGACCAGTTCTATCTGATTCCTGCTATATTCCATTTTATCCCTATTTTCCCCGAAATTATTTTCATAATTTCGTTCATTCTCTTTCTTTATTCTCCTCCAATTTTTTTCTTTTATTTCATCTCCGTCATTTCTACTCTTAATATTTCCTTTTCTTTTTTTTATATTTAATTTTATCCAATTTTTCTTTCCAATTCTTCTTTCTCCTTTCTTTCATTTTCCCATTCTTCTCTCATTTTATCAATTTCACTCTCTTTTCTATTTTCTATATCAATATCATCATTTTCTTTTTCAGAATCTCAAATGATCTCTGGTTTATTATCATTAATTTAAAATTTTCTTTTTTCAGTATCTCTAAAGATATCTGTTTACTATTTATTTCACATATTCATCAAACATATTTCATTATATAACTTTTCCATTTATCATATTTTATTTTTTTCTCTATCCATTTGTTTTAACAATCTTATTTTATTTGCCTCTCTATTAAAAATTTTTCTTTTATACCAAATATAAATACCTAATTTTAGACTTAAATCTAATATTAAATAACATTGTGACAAATTCCTGACTTCAATATAATTATAGCTTTTCTCACTTTTTTATTAATACTTTTTTTTTAAAATACATTCAAATAAAAATATTTTACCTCTTATTATTATGAATTTTTTATTTTCCCCCGTGATTGTATATTTTATTGGTACACTGCGTCCACTCTTCCCCAGAAAATTCTCCGTTGGTTGAATAAAAAAATAAACGGCACCAAACTGTAAGAATTGTAAGAAGGCCCTAAACTCTAAGAAATGTAACAAGGCCCAAGAATTCTGCAAACTAAATATTTTATTCCTGTTTTGAATTTTACAACATAAAAATAATAATTATAATAATCATAAACGCCGATTTTTACAAAATATAATAAATTTCTCTTTAACATTATTTTTTTATTAATTATTTTTATATAATAAGTATTTATTATAATACAACAATAACCATTTAGACATATTATGATCATTAAATCGAGAAGAAAAAAAAATTGTTAAAGTTATAGTTTTATTTTATAACCTTAAGAGAGGATCTTATACAGGTTCCATTTGAATACTGTTTCTCGTAATCGTCTAACACACACATCAATCCTTTCCCACATTTTCCACGGAGCATATAAGGTCCTCCACATATCTCTCCTTCTACCTGAATTTAAATGATACAATAATGTAATATATATATAAACTAATATAAATGAATTGCTACTTTAAACCTATTTAGAGTCTGATAATTTGATTTATACATTTATATGAAATGAATTACACCCTTCCTTTAGATTTGCATTCTTTCTATGATCGTCTTCACATTTTTTAAATCCACATTTTCTTCTTTCAATAATAATATACAGTGTGTATGGTTATTGTTTAAAGTAGTGATAAAAGGAAAATTTAAATATGTATTGGATGTTTGAATTGGAAAAAAAATATCTTAATATTCAGTAGAGTTTTGATTATTTTTATAGTTAAAGATACAAATTTTTATTTTGATATTCAAATATTAAACGATATTAAAGGAATGCAAATTGTTATAACAGTTTTATTTTTGTAAAAAAAGTTGTAATTTGATTAATTTAATTAATACATTTATTGGTTTTATAGTTTAGATTAATTGGGTACTTAATTACATTAGAAACAATTGCAAAACATTTCCATATATTTGTAACACCTTTCTTATAAAATAACATACCAACATTTTTAAATAAAATAAAGTATAGCAAGTGTTGTAGCTGTTGAAAAAAATAGAAATAAATTTAATATAATAAATATAATGTAAGTCATTTTCTGTGAGAAAAGGGGAATTTTCCTTGGGGAAAGTTGGGAGAAAAAAGAACACGGGATGCCAGCTGGATAAGAACAAAGAAGGGACTAAGATTGTGAAGATTTTAGCTATTGATGATGTATTCACATTAATATATATTAATTGTTATGATGTTTGAATAAATTGGACTTTGAAGCCATGGTAACTTGGAGTATTTTTAGATTGTTTTGGGATAGATAATTTATAGTAATTGAGAGGGAAGGGTTGAGAGTAAAGAGGTATTTCATTTTTTTTTTGACATTTCTTTTTTAGCAAGTTAAACAATTTTTTTAATAAACTTGTTACAAATATATGGAAATGTTCAGCAAAAAATTATATTGATACTGTAGTAGTTGCTAATAATTTTATTTATTATTAAAATAAACACTATTTTAAATATTTATACTTTCGCCCAATATTCCTACATGATCTAACCGCACCTATATCACACAACAATGCGACGTTTTGGAAAAAATTACTCAACTCATCAACCGTATGCTTGCTGGGGGCTTACCACCCGCCATTATTCCACTCCTTTATGGAGCTAAACTCATCGCCCTCCTTAAACCTAATAAAGATATTCGCCCTATCGCTATTGGAACCACTTGGCGCCGATTAACCTCAAAGCTAGTAGTGAGCAGAATATTGTTCACAGTATCCAATCACCTGTGCCCTAATCAATTAGGAGTCAACGTAAAAGGGGGATGAGACCCCAGTGACGATATCCTAATTAAGATAGATTTTTTAAACGCTTTTAACTCTCTAAAACATACAGCGTTTCTTAATCCCATCCTTACCCTTTACCCAGAATACTCACAATTCATCTTCGATTGTTATGTTAGTCCATCGCATCTTCAATTTGGGGATAGATTGATTCCTTCTAGTAGTGGAATACAACAAGGTGACCCTCTGCTTTTTATTCTGTCTGGGCATTAATAGCTTAATACAACGCATAAATGACCAATGTAAACTAAACCTTCATAGCTGGTATATCGACGATGGTATACTAGGCGGCTCACCCAGCGAGGTTATGAAGGCGGTCGAAATAATAAAATCCAGCGAGAGCAGTTTGAGACTGCGAATCAATCAAGACAAGAGCGAATATTGTCCTCTTGGAATCATCGACCTTAACTATGATCCTGTGTTCAATCATACACCATTGAACTTCTTAACACATCTCGGATCTCCAGTGGGTAAAGACGAGTCCTTTGTCAAGTTCTTCGCCGACACTCTACTAGAGATATCCCTTATGCGCAGTACACTATCTCGCCTCCCATCCCACCAAGCGTTCTTTCTATTAATGAACTACCTCCTAATCCCAAAAATTCTATATACACTTCGATCGTCACGTATCTTCCAATACGATGTCAACCTCGCTGCATACGAGCTAGAGATTAAACACCTCACAGAGGATATACTCAATCTCAAATTCGGAGACCTATCTTGGCTACAAGCTACCTTGCCAACCAAATCCGGCGGCATTGGCATACGATCGCCTTCCCTACTCTCTGTTAGTGCGTTCATATCCTCTCGCCTGTCCTGCGAGCCCATCATACACTCACAAAACATCCCGACCCTTTACTTCCCCAGGCAATTGATCTATGGAAATCTCTTTGTCGATCCTCCCTCATCGGCACTGCAGAAGGACTGAAATAAGCCTCTAGTTGGCAACTCCGTTGCATACCTTAAATCGAGGAGCCAACCCGAGGACCATTCTCTACTCTTCTCCATTTCCGCAGACAACGGATATAAATTTCTCGAAGCTTTTCCATCGCGAAACCTTGACCAGCTCCTAAGCAATGATGAGCTACGTCACGCCCACGGTCTAAGACTTAATTGTGATATAGTAATACCCTATCACTGCATCCTTTGTCAAACGCCGGTCAACTCCAAAGGCCGTCACTCTTTACACTGCAAGCGCTGTAGAGGCAGATTCATTAGACATTCAAAATGCAATGATACTATTGCCAGGGCCCTAAAATCTGCCGGTATCCCATCAACCCTCGAACCTACTGGACTCTACAATTCTGATGGTAAGCGTCACGATGGCTCTACCATGATCCCTTGGAAGAGGGGGGAATTCCTAACCTGGGATTTCTCATGCATCGATCCCCTTGCCCCTTCCAATATAAATAGATATGGTCTAGTAGACGCCGAGACGAATAAACTAGCTAAGTGTTCGCCATCGCCCTCGGCCAATTACACATTCCTTCCACTAATCGCCACGACTCTAACGTCGTTCGGCTCTCATGCCCTGGCCTTCTTTAAAAAGCTAGGGAAACGGATCTCTACTAGGACCGAAGATCCCAACGAGGGTTACTACCTACGCCAAAGATTAGCCCTCAATATAATAAAATCCAATTACCTCAGCTTCATATTCTCAATGACTGATACCCCCTAATCACAGCAGAATCGGCGATGAGAAAAGCAATTAAGAACAAGAGAAATTCAACAAAAGAACCAAACCCTAATCACAGAATCGGCGATGAGAAAAGCAATTAAGAACAAGAGAGGAATATTCAGATGGAAGAAGAAAAACTGAAGGGCAAACTATGATAACTCATAATTCTTTTAAATCATATGCTCAATTTATTATATTAATTTACTATATATTTATTTATATTATTTAAACATATTATTATTTATCCTTAAAAGATATACTAACAAATGTGATTATTTTTTAAATTGACATATTATTATAATTAATATTAAAATATAATTTAATCATTATTATTATATTATTTATTATTATATTACTTATTTTTTATATTAATCTATTTTAACATTATATTTGTTTAGTATTGTTTTTTTTATTTAAAATTAATTATACAAAACCTATATAAGTACAATATATATGTTAGCATCAATGTGTTTTTTCCGGCAATGTGTTATTTTTACAACTTTAAATCTATTAATTGTAAACGATTTTACTTTAAACCTTTGAGTCATTTTAGTATTTATATAAAATATATTGAAAATTGAATTATATTGATAAAATTTCGTGGAAAATTTATCCGAAATTCATACGTTAGGTATTCCTAACATGACGGCATACATTTGCGGTTATATAAGATTTTTAAAAAAAATTCTC